AAGGGATGGTAAATTGCTGGAATTTAATGCATTAATTCAGGGAAAGGTTTAACTAGGAGGCCACCAAGAGATATTTCCTTTTAAGACCATGCAGGGAAGGATCAAACATAAATGACCCACACACCACAAAAAAACTATATATTTTTCAGAATAGTGACAGTAGAGAGAATTCTTAGTAAATGCATAAAAATGAACTTGATAAACTTCAACGTATCACCCAAACGCAATAAAGATATGATAAGCAAGGCAAGCATAGTATACTAAACCCAAAGCATAGACCAAGACCCAAGGGCAGAGACAATCAATAATATAAATCTGAAGTTAGGGACTGACATGACCCTTGGATCATCTTAAATAATCCATCAAAGGATGAACAGACGTCTTTGACATCTAATACAAAAATGGGTAAATGTTTAGAAACATCTACCTTCCGTCATCAAATTGAGATGAGAAATCCCTTTTTAAATTTTCTCCAATGAGGCCTCGATATAATAATGTTTTAAAAGCTTTCCAAATTATTTAATATTTCTGGGTAAATTTTTAAATGATTTAATATCATGAAAAATATTTTAATTTTGTAATGTTTTTATATATTGATATAATTTTTTTTTTAAATGTTTTGATATTTTGCCATATTGAAAAAATAATTTGAAAAGTTTATCCAAAAATATTAAATCATTTGAAAAGCGTATCCAACAATATTAAATTGAGGCCTTAATATGCTATATTTGATTTAATACTTCAATCTGAATCCTACAATGCGAAACACTGGCTGCACTATTCCTAAAGGAACAACTGATCCATTCTTTACTGGAAGATTTACAGTAGGAAACACAGCCTAGGACAGCATCCAATATATGTAGGTGGTCTGCAAATAGAAGGACATAAATAAATATGACATCTTGGATAAAGTGCTACAATCTTAAAGCTACTAGGAGGGATTTGGAAATCCAAGGACTTTTCACAAGTTAATAGCCATAAGCCAAATAGAGGTTATTTTGTAAAAAAAAACATGTACATAGTTCAAACAACAGTGAAACAGACAGGTACTGAAAATAACGACACAAATCGCGACATTGGAAACAACAAATAAGCTGACGTTAGCTGACAAGGACCATAACGTTATTGACTGCAAGATGCCAGTTACATACCCTACTAGCCAAGAAACTTCGACTGACAAATCCAATACCTTCTTTTATGAGCACTTTAATTAGTGTGGTCACTTCTTGGCAAGACCGTTCCAAAAGTAGCAACAATTGTTCCATTTCCACCAGATTTCCATGGGTGTCAGAGATACAAGCTTCCGCCCTGAAGGAATAGGCTCCGAGTTCCAGGCATTTTATGCATCCCTGTATTATTTGCAGGGCTCATTAACAAAAATACAATTAGTGACTAGGAGGGAGAAAACTCAACAATATCTAGATAGGATATGTACCTAGAGCCCTAGACAAAGACTTAATGTCCAGCTTAGAGGTGGAGATAACAGAGGAGGAATTGAAAGCTACAGTTAAGTATTCCTACACCAACAAACCCCCTGGCCCACATAGTCTGCCCCTCCATTGCTATAAGACCATTGAGGATATCCTGTATCCACATAGGCTACAAGCATTTACTAGCCTGCTCCAAGGAAAGAGCTTTCATATGGACTCTCTCCTAGCAAAATAATAATTATCCACAAATATGGGAAAGATCAAAATCTATGCAAGAGCTATAGACCCCTCTCTCTGCTTAACGCAGACTTGAAATTATTAGCTAAGGTCTTAGCAATGAGGTCCCTGACCTAGTTGGCTCAGACCTGATAGAGAGGCAAGGGAGAACACAACTAGGGTCTTTGGGAGCATCCTATGGTAGGGGGGACCCTGCTGGTGTGGAGTGCCCTTTAAAATGGAACTAAAATGGAGCTAATCACAGTATTGGGTCCAATGCTGCCACTTATAAAAAAATATATATATAAAAAAACACCAGCTACTAAAGGGTATGTCCCTCAGATGTTTGAACCAAGACGGGGAGATGGGAATCCCCATCTGAGAGACATATGCTTGGTTAAAGGCATTTTGCAGATCACTTGTCTAATCCCAGAGAGAGTGCAGACTGCCCTCTAGTGGTTTTGTTAATACCAACTTCAGCGCTCCTATCCCCTAGACACAACTTATTCTGACCACTTATAGGCTTTCAACAATGGGTGAACATCTAGACAGAAGAATATTCAATATATACAGACTTCTATTTAATGTAGTATAAACCCCATCCTAAAGGTTTACACCAGCCTTTTGCTAGCAGCACATATGTCTTCCCTAAACTCTAAAATTCAGAAGATGAATTATAAGCTCCTTACGCAGTGGTATTTAACAGCGGTGGCTCTAAATAAGTTTGCTCCAATTGTCTCCCCTATATGCTGATGATGCTGAGGGACTGAAGGTTCCCCTACTCCATATATGGTGGACCTGTGCATTTATTGCTTCATTCTGGAAATCAGTGGGAAAAAAGATACTGTGAGAAGCTCCTACGTTCACACCTGTAACTGTACTACTCCATCTAACACTCGAAATACAAGAGCATAACAAGACACCCTCTAAATGCTGCAAAGATCTTAATACCAATCTCATGGAAACAACGTTGGGTTCCCACACTACAGCAGTGAAGAGAAAGGGAAAAGCAGATGTATGGCATGGAATCACTTGCAGCGGAACTCCAAGGCAGAGCTGAAGTGAAAAATGTCAAACAGCTTGATAAATATCCCTGACGAGATCGAAACGTTGCTGTATCTGTCATGTTTTTCCAATAAATCTGCTGATGTATGAAGACCTTGAGTGCCTGAACTACTTTGCTGTTACTATATGGATTAGGAGTTTGTCAGCCCTGGGTACAGTGGAATTGGTGTTTGCCAGCCCAGGGTACAGTGCACCGAGGTCTACAGGTGATGAGAGTGCGGATCCCTCCTTTTTTTGCTATGGTTTAATAACATCACAAAACGCATACTCTAACATGTTTTAGTGCACTGGGGACTTGGGGTTGCGGAGAAGTTTTTCCAATCCCATTCGCCCCCTTACCTTATCTTTTCTTCTCTATTCCTTCCTCAATTTGCCATATTTAGTAACTCCCAGCTACCACTTGCGTCTCACCACACATTTAAGTATGGAAATTTTGACTGCCTTCAGTCAGGTGAACAAACCAGGAATTAATTGTCTAACATTGTTGGAGGCTGACAGGCTGTCGTAAATATGCCGACGTATGCCACGGAGGGGTGTTACTGTTAACCCTATCTCCTTCATCTGTTTTGATTCTACTTTGTTGGTATTTGGAGTAGAATACAAAAAAAAAAATTTCATAAAAAAACAAACAAACAAAAAAATATTGACACAATCTTCTTATTCAGTGCTACAATTAACTGTAGTTTTACTTGGATAATCCCTTTAATTTGATCTCAGAGGCTGAAGTTTACAGTAGTAAAAAAAGTTATATTTCTGTTAAGCCTGTAAGGCAATGCTAATCTATCACCAGGATACTATTTCCAGCCGATAAGAGAACACTCATAAAACCACTAGGGGGCACAAAAGACAAAAACTAATTGTTAATTGACATCTATAGTTTTTGAAGGAACAATGCCAGCAGAAACCATGCAAATAGAGGTACTGCCATCAAATATCATGCAGGTCATGATTTTATGTATAGTTCACTCCAGCTTTAAATAACACAAGCCCCTTAAAATCATGGAAATGTCTTACTGACTCGCCCTAAATTACAGGTAGAAAAAGATCTTAAATGGAGGGTATGTAATTAATAAAATTTATACTTGTGTAGGTGCTTGAATAGACTGAAAATAGGGCTACATGTTCCAAAATCAGCTACGAGATGGGATCAAATATATTCAGGACCTCCTAAAACCAGTGATCCATGATGTATTGACCCCCTGTTGTTTTTTAATTCCTGGCAGTAACAAAGATTAATTAACTGTTTGGGTTAGCCCAAGAATTCTCTAACCCTCATTCTGCATCTCACGCTGTGACATCGGAGTGTATTCTTGAAGCATATTAACCAGTGACGGGTATCTACTCTATATTACTCCTAATATGGTGTCCACAATTCATAGCTTAATGTAAAAAAAGCAGGTAAGATTGTTACCTATCCACCTATATATGCCCAAACCCCTATAATAGAGTGCTTTCAAGCACCCTGTCACTTTGCCACTCATAGTGCCAACCTCTCCCATATAGATTGATAGGCAGATACCACGGTCCCCCACCAGCAGGACCTGAAGGCCTGGGTAAATAAGTAAACTACAATGTCAATTCAGTTGGGTGATGTATTGATATTAAATATCCATAGACTCCAAAAGCAGAAGTGCTGCTTTATCATGCCAGATACAGGAGAATACTTATTATTGTCATTAAAGGTAGGGGAACATAAGTGTTACTCTTAAAGGGACCCTATAGGAAATGAAACAGTTTTTAGTTCAATCTCATTGAATTGGTTATAGTGTCTGGAGTCATAAGCTGCTCTCTGATTATGGGATTTAAGTGGCCGCAAAAGGCTGCTCGTGCTCACTGGGGTTTTGCAGACATACAGACATACACACACATATGTAGTTTAAAACTTATTTTTATTAATTATATTATTATATTAAAAGAGAGATATATCTATAAGTGTCGCACAGTGAAAAAAGTGGAGAGGTACTATCGTGCAAATTATATATAATTGATAGACCATAAAATAAAAGGAAAGAAAAGAAAAAGAAATATACATATTAATTTTATATATATATATTTCTATATTGTTGTCTACAGCTGTTGTCCTGTCAATCAGCCACATATACGGTGGAGGTTAGCAACAAAAGTGTCTCATAGTTGCTACTTTTAAAACATGCAAAATGTAGCAAGGAGTACATACAATCCGGGATAATGACTGAAACGGCAGCTATAACTAAAGGATCAACAGGAAAACATATATATATATATATATATATCAAAGTCCATAGGGTATTATCCTGAATTGATGGAGCTATTACAAATGTGCTAAAAGTATTGGAGGCAAATGAGATTAATTTAACTATTAATCTCATTTGCCTCCAATACTTTTAGCACATTTGTAATAGCTTGGCAGTGCTTTATTGGGCATCTAATAGGTAGTACAGCTAGATATACAGGCTATATTATCAGCACCCACTTCTTTTCAAAGTCTACATTATAGAGCTCACTTTTCTTTACAGACAGACATATACACACATATACATACAGACAGGCATGCACACACACATACATGCAGGCACACAGACATACAGACACACACACACACACAGACACATACAGAGAAACATTTAGACACACATACACAAACACACACACATACATACAAGCACACACATATATAGACATATACAAAATGTTTTAGTCACCCTCCTGTTTCCTACCATTTAGGTGCAGAAGCGTGACTTTCCCTGGGGTCCAGTGGCTCAGCCTGATAGGAGTCAGAGTTCCCACTCTGACTCCCTCCTCTCTTCCTCCCGCGAGGCTCCCGGCATAAGCTGGGAGGAGGGACCAGGGCAGTCACTTCATCCCAGCTCTGGGGACCCGGTCGCGCTATTAAAGCGCCATAGCGCTGACAGGGCCCACTGGAAATACATAGCATCGAGTGGCCTTAACAGGATGGCCCACCCGGTGGGCCCCTGAACTCACAGCCCTAGCACTCAGTAGGGGAACTACTGCAGTTACAGGGCAGCTGCGACCCCTGCAACTGTGGTAGTTCCCCTACTGAGTGCAATGTAGCGGAGAGCTGGTATTACACAGCCTATCTCCACTTTGGATCCCAGGGAGGCTCAGGAACAAGCCATTATGAATCCATAGGGCAGAGTATCCAGCAGGCAAAGTATCACAGCAGTATCCCAACAGCAATCCCAATAACTGGACGACACACAGTATCAGGAGCAGAACTAAAGATTTATTCACACAGTGGCCTTTTAAAGCCTGCTCCCATGCAAGGGAGGGATTTCCATTAATTTGTAAAGTAGCCAATCCTGCTCTGGTAACCTCCCACACATCTCCTCCCCTCAGCCTGCATCATAATCCCCTTATCCAGCACACCAATTCCCCCCGTTTCTGGATGTACCCCTAAACTTAGGGGTACCACTTTAAATTATACATCCCCTGGTAGCCCTGATCTGGGTGAACAACATATCCAAAAATCACCCAGATCAGACCAGGGGTTCGGGAAATTCATGGAGGAAATAAAATGACCGACCGCACTGGAGAGAACAGCCGAATGGGGTTCCATGCGATGGGGCCCTGCGGTCGGTCCTGGAGTCAGGGAATAAACTGCACGAAAGCCTCTAGCTACAGAGACTAGGGAGGGTTCGCCTGAATCCCCTCGTCTGGTTGTTTCTATCTACCGAACGAGGGGCTGTTCGGTAGTTTGGAACCGAACGGACCGGGCTTGTGGAGGTCTCAGCGGTGTTCGCCTAGTTGAGTGCCCAATTTGAGTTCCAGACACTCAACGGCAACACCGCTGTTCGGGAGTTTTAAAATGGCCGCCGCCACGTGTTCGTTTCCCGAATGGCGGCCACCCCCGAGAACAAAGGACGGCTACTCAGCTTGTCAATTACCCGTTCGCAACAATGTTGCAACGGGTAATTGAAGGCACACTTCACACAGGGGAGGTCTGACTGTTCGGTAGTTTCATTCGAACAAACTAAGGGAATGAAACTACCTAACATTCAGACGAATACAATACATTTAACACATAGAACTTTGCTATTTTACACAAATGCATTCAAACACATGTAATTCTCTGGACAGCCCAGTGCCATCCGCTACATGCAACAAAAGATTTAATTTACAGTCTCACCAACAGGAGTGCAAGTGTTCACCCTGAAAGCTATTGGGGATGACTTTGCCAGATTTTATGGTCAATTATACAACTTGAGACAGGATGAATTTGCCCCACAACCTACCTTAGAGTGTATAAATAGATATATAAAATCAGTGCCATTACCAACATTGAATGTGGAGCAGAGAGATTCGTTGGCTGCCCCAGTCATGGCGGAGTAAGTGGTTAAGGTGGTTAAAAACTTGGCATGATGGCTTTTCTAATGCGTATTATAAACCTTAGAGTATATCATTAGGCACACACTTAGCTAATTTATTTATTCAGACACTTCTCTCAAAGGAGTTACCACGGGAGGTAATGGCTGCCCATGTAGTTACCTTGCCCGAGCCGGGAATACCTGCCACACAATGTCCCAATTTCAGGTTAATTTCCTTTCAAAACTAGGATGCAAATGTAATGGCCAAAATATATGTGCTCGTTTAAGCCCCATCTAGACCGAAATTGATGATAAGATGGACTTTGTGAATGAAAGGCAGGGCCCAGAAGACACCAGAAAAGTGATGAATACACTATATAGTTTACGGCAAACACACCAGGGGGGATTGCTGATATCATTGGATGCAGAAAAAGATTTCAACAGTCTCCACTGGGGATTTCTGGAGGTGGACCTAAGCAGATTTGTCTTTCCACAGCAGTTCCTCTCAACCCTCAGCTCGTATCTTAAACGAAAACTTTGTTTCAGATCCCTTTGATGTTTCAAATGGAACTAGGCAGGGGTCATCATTATTGTAAGTCTTGTCATTAGAACCACTGGCAGCAGCAAGAAGGACTGACACATCTATCTACGAAGTGACCATAGGAGAGAAAGAATACAAACTAAATTTATTTAATGATGATGTCCTTCTTACACTATTCCAGCCATTGATATCTCTCCTGAATCTACAAAAACAGTTGCAGGAATATAGCACTCATTCTTTTTATAAACTAAATACAAGTAAAACGCAAGCCTTAGGGATTGAGTTAGAAGAAAAGGTGATAAACAAGCTTTAAGAATCTTTTAACTTTGACTGAAGATCAGCACACTTAACCTCTCTGAGCATTAAGTTTACAAAAAAATCCACAGATCAGTTTCAACATAATTACAAACCAATAATGCAGGAGTTTGAAACACTCGAGACATGGGAGGGGAAAATAATTTCCTGGATAGGGCACATAGTTGCAGTGAAGTTGTGCCTTTTGCCAAAATTACAGCATTTATTCCGATGCTTAAAAATACCCTTACCAAAAAAACTGCCTAGTCTAAAAAAATATTAGTACGATTAATTTGGCTAAACAAAAAAGTAAGAGTAGCTATGAGACTTCTTTAACAGTTGGTGGGATTAGGAGGTCTTGGCTCCCAACCTTAAAGCCTATTATAAAGCGGCTGTAGTGAGTACCATGGTTTCAGCCCATAAAATGACCAATCCGCCCCAATGGGTAACCACAGAGTCCCACTGGATAATAAAAAAGAAATCTTGTTATCTTTTCTGGGTGTTGCAAAAAATGAGCTATTGTCACATAAAATTCTGCCCTCCACTATAATTACCCTAAAAATATGGGACCAAGCACGGTCTACTCTGTGTGGATATCATCCGGTCCCCCAAAAAACACCTATATTTTCTATAAGTCGAGGAGTACCAACCTTAAATAGCAGTATGTGAATACAAAAAACACAGATTTGA